CTTGGTGACAAATCATGCAATTAGGACGTTGACTCCTAAATCATGCAATTAGGACGTTGACTCCTAAATCATGCAATTAGGACGTTGACTCCTAAATCATGCAATTAGGACGTTGACTCCTAAATCATGCAATTAGGACGTTGACTCCTAAATCATGCAATTAGGACGTTGACTCCTAAATCATGCAATTAGGACGTTGACTCCTAAATCATGCAATTAGGACGTTGACTCCTAAATCATGCAATTATGACGTTGACTCCTAAATCATGCAATTAGGACGTTGACTCCTAAATCATGCAATTAGGACGCTGACTCCTAAATCATGCAATTAGGACGTTGACTCCTAAATCATGCAATTAGGACGTTGACTCCTAAATCATGCAGTTTGGTCGCTGACTCCTAAATCATGCAGTTATATTGCTGACTCCCATCAAGTTTTGTTCCGCATGTGAATCCTTATTGTACATATTCGTCCGACCTCTTTATCTTTTTTTGCTCTATACAGTATGACGGGATTAGTAAGTAGCAAGTCGACTACTGGATATAGAAATATGGCGGGATTAGAATGTACCATCACGTTAGTAGCAAGACTACTGGGCCACGATATAGAAATGATCGCCACTACACGTTTACACTCGACCAACGCGCGCCTGTCTAAGTGGCGTTGACACGATTGGTGTCGAGACGTCGAGGGTTCCACCATGACCCCAGTTGGCCTGTTTAAATACCACCATTTTGTTTCCCCAGTTTAAATACCACTATTTTGTTTCCCCAGTTTAAAAACTACCATTTTGTTTCCCCAGTTTAAATACCACCATTTTGTTTCCCCAGTTTAAATACCACTATTTTGTTTCCCCAGTTTAAAAACTACCATTTTGTTTCCCCAGTTTAAATACCACCATTTTGTTTCCCCAGTTTAAATACCACCATTTTGTTTCCCCAGTTTAAAAACTACCATTTTGTTTCCCCAGTTTAAATACCACCATTTTGTTTCCCCAGTTTAAATACCACCATTTTGTTTCCCCAGTTTAAAAACTACCATTTTGTTTCCCCAGTTTAAATACCACCATTTTGTTTCCCCAGTTTAAATACCACTATTTTGTTTCCCCAGTTTAAATACCACCATTTTGTTTCCCCAGTTTAAATACCACTATTTTGTTTCCCCAGTTTAAAAACTACCATTTTGTTTCCCCAGTTTAAATACCACCATTTTGTTTCCCCAGTTTAAATACCACCATTTTGTTTCCCCAGTTTAAAAACCACCATTTTGTTTCCCCTGTTTTCGCATCATTTAACTTTCCGTGCTCAGCAATCGATAGTTCACGTGGTTGCCTAGCAACATCCGGACCTAGCATGTATAAATAAGCCATCAAATTGTTGACACACTTTCTCCTCACAACACGGGCGCTGACATGTACAAGTCAAGTTTAGCACAGCAACACATTTAGCAACACATGCAGTAGAGTAGATAATTTAGCAAAATGTTTTTTTTATCTCCCTTTTTATCCACTAGGCAATCTACAAGATGGTCGGGACTGTGATGAAAATGCCTGAAGATGAATCAACACCGGAGAAGAGGACGGACAAAATATTCCGTCAAATGGACAAAAATTTGGACGGTAAACTGTCGATTGATGAGTTTATTGAGGGGGCCAAAAGTGACCCTTCAATCGTGAGACTGCTCCAGTGTGACCCCCAAGCCGCAGCACAAAGTTGAAACAAGCCTTGCCATACATGCTGGTGGGGGAGGATGTCTGGATAAATGGGTCACGTGTGTCAGACTTTTTCTTCATCTCTTTAAGATGGTTGTGTGCTCTCAGTCTTTTGCACCTTAAGCATCTTCATTCTTTTCCCAACTGACCTCACAGTCCAGACCACACCTGGACCTGCCTGTCCAGTCCACACCTGGACCTGCCTGTCCAGTCCACACCTGGACCCGCCTGTCCAGTCCACACCTGGACCTGCCTGTCCAGACCACACCTGGACCTGCCTGTCCAGTCCACACCTGGACCCGCCTGTCCAGACCACACCTGGACCCGCCTGTCCAGACCACACCTGGACCTGCCTGTCCAGACCACACCTGGACCTGCCTGTCCAGACCACACCTGGACCTGCCTGTCCAGACCACACCTGGACCCGCCTGTCCAGACCACACCTGGACCTGCCTGTCCAGACCACACCTGGACCTGCCTGTCCAGACCACACCTGGACAGGCATACCATGGTTTGTTAGGATGAGTGTAATGTCCACAGACAGACCAACCTGGTTGTCTCACCTGATACACAGCCTATCATTTGATGAAATAGGTCAAGACACATAAATATGTGTCTTGTGTGTCAAGATGCCTGTCTTGTGTCAAGAGCACCTGTCTTGGTGACCTGGAGCACCTGTCTTGTGTGACCTGGAATGATGTGACCTGGAGCACCTGTCTTGTGTGACCTGTAGCACCTGTCTTGTGTGACCTGGAGCACCTGTCTTATGTGACCTGGAGCACCTGTCTTGTGTGACCTGGAGCACCTGTCTTGTCTGACCTGGAATGATGTGACCTGGAGCACCTGTCTTGTGTGACCTGGAGCACCTGTCTTGTGTGACCTGGAGCACCTGTCTTGTGTGACCTGGAGCACCTGTCTTGTGTGACCTGGAGCACCTGTCTTGTGTGACCTGGAGCACCTGTCTTGTGTGACCTGGAGCACCTGTCTTGTGTGACCTGGAGCACCTGTCTTGTGTGACCTGGAGCACCTGTCTTGTGTGACCTGGAGCACCTGTCTTGTCTGACCTGGAGCACCTGTCTTGTCTGACCTGGAGCACCTGTCTTGTCTGACCTGGAATGATGTGACCTGGAGCACCTGTCTTGTGTGACCTGGAGCACCTATCTTGTGTGACCTGGAGCACCTGTCTTGTGAGACCTGGAGCACCTGTCTTGTGTGACCTGGAGCACCTGTCTTGTGTGACCTGGAGCACCTGTCTTGTGTGACCTGGAGCACCTGTCTTGTGTGACCTGGAGCACCTGTCTTGTGTGACCTGGAGCACCTGTCTTGTCTGACCTGGAGCACCTGTCTTGTCTGACCTGGAATGATGTGACCTGGAGCACCTGTCTTGTGTGACCTGGAGCACCTGTCTTGTGTGACCTGGAGCACCTGTCTTGTCTGACCTGGAATGATGTGACCTGGAGCACCTGTCTTGTGTGACCTGGAGCACCTGTCTTGGTGACCTGGAATGATGTGACCTGGAGCACCTGTCTTGTGTGACCTGGAGCACCTGTCTTGTGTGACCTGGAGCACCTGTCTTGTGTGACCTGGAGCACCTGTCTTGTCTGACCTGGAGCACCTGTCTTGTGTGACCTGGAGCACCTGTCTTGTGTGACCTGGAGCACCTGTCTTGTGTGACCTGGAGCACATGTTTTGTGTGACCCTGGAGCACCTGTCTTGTGTGACCTGGAGCACCTGTCTTGTGTGACCTGGAGCACCTGTCTTGTGTGACCTGGAGCACCTGTCTTGTGTGACCTGGAGCACCTGTCTTGTGTGACCTGGAGCACCTGTCTTGTGTGACCTGGAGCACCTGTCTTGTGTGACCTGGAGCACATGTCTTGTGTGACCTGGAGCACATGTTTTGTGTGACCCTGGAGCACCTGTCTTGTGTGACCTGGAGCACCTGTCTTGTGTGACCTGGAGCACATGTTTTGTGTGACCTGGAGCACATGTTTTGTGTGACCCTGGAGCACCTGTCTTGTGTGACCTGGAGCACCTGTCTTGTGTGACCTGGAATGATGTGACCTGGAGCACCTGTCTTGTGTGACCTGGAGCACCTGTCTTGTGTGACCTGGAATGATGTGACCCTGGAGCACCTGTCTTGTGTGACCTGGAGCACCTGTCTTGTGTGACCTGGAGCACCTGTCTTGTGTGACCTGGAGCACCTATCTTGTGTGACCTGGAGCACCTGTCTTGTGTGACCTGGAATGATGTGACCTGGAGCACCTGTCTTGTATGACCTGGAGCACCTGTCTTGGTGACCTGGAATGATGTGACCTGGAGCACCTGTCTTGGTGACCTGGAATGATGTGACCTGGAGCACCTGTCTTGTGTGACCTGGAGCACCTGTCTTGTGTTACCTGGAGCACATGTTTTATGTGACACCAAATTTGGTGAATATCTTTATGAAGTGTTGATTAAAACATTGAAATATTTTTAGCACTAAAATGTTTGTCCCTTCGTGTCCTGTATTCTCTCAGTATTTGTTGCAACATATTCCTATAGATTCTATATTTGAGTGCTGACCACTTATTTAAAGACCCAGCATGGTACACTGACGTCTTCACAGAGCTGTACAATATTTGTATGAGTGATGGTTTAATCTTGGTGTCTGTATGAGTGATGGTTTAATGGTGGTGTCTGTATGAGTGATGGTTTAATGGTGGTGTCTGTATGAGTGATGGTTTAATCTTGGTGTCTGTATGAGTGATGGTTTAATGGTGGTGTCTGTATGAGTGATGGTTTAATGGTGGTGTCTGTATGAGTGATGGTTTAATGGTGGTGTCTGTATGAGTGATGGTTTAATGGTGGTGTCTGTATGAGTGATGGTTTAATGGTGGTGTCTGTATGAGTGATGGTGGTGTCTGTATGAGTGATGGTTTAATGGTGGTGTCTGTATGAGTGATGGTTTAATGGTGGTGTCTGTATGAGTGATGGTTTAATGGTGGTGTCTGTATGAGTGATGGTGGTGTCTGTATGAGTGATGGTTTAATGGTGGTGTCTGTATGAGTGATGGTGGTGTCTGTATGAGTGATGGTTTAATGTTGGTGTCTGTATGAGTGATGGTGGCAAAATGTGTTTTAATTACTGCATCACTTGAATTTTTATGACCTGCAGCAGTTGGGTGGAGGGGGGGGGGAGAGCTTTGTGTTTGTTGTTGGGGGGTGGGGGCTTAGGTTGATATTTTTTTTACCATCAAATGTATGAACACCAGTTTAAATTAATTTGAATTCTGTCAAAGAGAAATAAATGTATTAAATGGTTTGTTTGATTGTTGTAAACATATTTGATACTTTAATGATTTGAGTCAATCATTACATTTGATACTTGAATGATTTGAGCCAATCATTACATTTGATACTTAAATGATTTGAGCCAATCATTACATTTGATACTTGAATGATTTGAGCCAATCATTACATTTGATACTTGAATGATTTGAGCCAATCATTACATTGCCATTTTTTGATCAGTCAGCAGAATGGTTTTTATTAGCAAGAAGAAAGGTCAAGGTGATGTTAACTTGTGTAAAAACAAGGGCGGCTGCCTGATGTGTTGATGTTTTTTCTGCGTTTCTTATCCCTAACCCTGACATAGTATATTTTACAAGTTATTAAAACTTTGAATGATTTCTGTTGATCAGATGTCTAGTGGCTAGTACAGATGGGCAGACAGGCAATAGTTTTGTTGAGAGAGAACCCATCCACATGACTGTCTGGCCCACTTAGAGTCAGACGAAAATATTTTCTTTAGCCTGCACAAGTTGTAGCTGTCATTTGACACACCCTCCTTCACCCCACACATGTCCACCCCACACGTGTCCACCCCACACTTGTCCTCTCTACCAATTTATTCAGCCTCACAATCACATTTCATTTCATGAGTATGTTCATTCAAGGTAGCAAGAATTGAAATGGTAGTGGCCAACACTACACCACCAAGATGGTAGTGGGCCAACACTACACCATCAAGATGGTAGTGGCCAACACTACACCATCAAAATGGTAGTGGCCAACACTACACCATCAAGATGGTAGTGGGCCAACACTACACCATCAAGATGGTAGTGGGCCAACACTACACCATCAAGATGGTAGTGGGCCAACACTACACCATCAAGATGGTAGTGGCCAACACTACACCACCAAGATGGTAGTGGGCCAACACTACACCAAGATGGTAGTGGGCCAACACTACACCATCAAGATGGTAGTGGCCAACATTACACCATCAAGATGGTAGTGGCCAACACTACACCATCAAGATGGTAGTGGCCAACACTACACCATCAAGATGGTAGTGGCCAACATTACACCATCAAGATGGTAGTGGCCAACACTACACCATCAAGATGGTATCTAATCTGCTTGTCATAGTATAACACCCATCATTTATGACCAATTATGTTTTTTCTCACCTCAAATAGTTAGTTTTTTTGTGTTCATTTATAGCTTATTATTTTAAAACTACATTTTTCATCTTATAGAAACTATTTGATTCAATGTCTATAGGTATTGTACCATTATGACAATAATTGTTTCGTAAATTTTGTTTTGTTAGCTCCGGTAAATTTTCCAATCTAAATTTAAAAAACTCATCTTAAATGTTTGATTTTGCTGTAGGCAGACCAAGTTTGTCAGAGGGATATTGAATTCCTCAGTTGGGTTACCTCTGATGAAACCTTAGAAAATAAAATGAAGCTATGTACAAAGATGTGTGGCAAATTTTTCTCTCTTGTGAAATTTAAAGAGATCAAATTCAAACATGTGCACACACAGGGCAGATGAGTGTAGTCAAACATGTGCACACACAGGGCATATGAGTGTAGTCAAACATGTGCACACACAGGGCAGATGAGTGTAGTTAAACATGTGCACACACAGGGCAGATGAGTGTAGTCAAACATGTGCACACACAGGGCAGATGAGTGTAGTCAAACATGTGCACACACAGGGCAGATGAGTGTAGTCAAACATGTGCACACACAGGGCAGATGAGTGTAGTCAAACATGTGCACACACAGGGCAGATGAGTGTAGTCAAACATGTGCACACACAGGGCATATGTAGTGTGCTGCATACAGTGAAAGCTAAGGTTGTGTATATAAAAGGTTGAAATAACTGATAGACTTATTTTATTTTTAGACCTGCAGTATGTTTTTTGTTGTTATTATAAATGTATCTTTCACTTAGCTAGTCAATGAATGAATGAAACTTGACGTACTCAAAAGTTGAATGAAATTTTTTTTGATGCACTCAAAAGTTGAAAAAAACTTGATTTGATGTACTCAAAAGTTATAGGAAACTTGATTAGACGGTTTCAAAAGTTGGTTGAATCTTGACGTACTCAAAAGTTGAATGAAACTTGACGTACTCAAAAGTTGAATGAAACTTGAAGTACTCAAAAGTTGAATGAAACTTGACGTACTCAAAAGTTGAATGAAACTGGACGTACTCAAAAGTTGAATGAAACTTGACGTACTCAAAAGTTGAATAAAACTTGACGTACTCAAAAGTTGAATGAAACTTGACGTACTCAAAAGTTGAATGAAACTTAACGTACACAAAAGTTGAATGAAACTTGACGTACTCAAAAGTTGAATGAAACTTGACCTACACAAAAGTTGAATAAAACTTGACGTACACAAAAGTTGAATAAAACTTGATTTGACGTTCTCAATGGTTTGCCTTTATGAGGTCTGGATGGTAGTTCTGTTGCTTACACATTTGTGGCATTTTTTTAAATAAATTTTGAACACAAACTTCCCAATGACAAACATAGATGTTCATTTTATTAAAGACCAATGAATAACGAGCAGTGGATTCCCAGT